TCTGCATCTATTGAGATGATCATGTGATTTTTGCCTTTAATCTACTTATATGATTTATTACATTTATTGGCTTATGCATATTGAACTATCCCTGCATCCCAGGAATAAAGCCAAATTGATCATGGTGGGTGATCTTTTAGATATGCATCTGTATGTGATTTGCAATTATTTTATTGCAACATTTTGCGTCTATGTTCATTAGGAATGTGGGTCTATAGTTTTCTTCCTTTCTTGTGTCTTTTCCCAGTTTTGTTATTAAGGTAATACTGGATTCATAGGAGGAGTTTGGGAGTTCTCCCTCTGTTTTTATTTTTTTTTAATAATTTAAACAATATTGGTTGTATATCTTCTTTGAAGATCTGATAAAATTCTGCTGTGAATCTATGCATACCAGGGCTATTTTTAGTTGGGAGGGTTTTTATTACTGTTTTGATCTTCTTACTTGTTTTGGGTCTGTTTAAGTTGTTGATCTCTTTTTGGTTTAGGTGGTTCTGTTTAACATAGAAATACATCCACTTCTTTCAGTTTTCCTAATTTAATGAAGTATTGGTTTTCAAAGTATTCCCTTATAATGTTCTGGATTTCTTTGGTGTCTATTCTAATGTTTCCCTCATATTCTCTGATTTGTTGATTTGGATTTCTTCCTGTTCTCTGGGCTACTTTTAATTCTTACTTTGGCTTTATTGTAAAGTGGAAGACCTTTCTTTGCCTATTTTTTTTTTTTCCTTTTGAGAACCAACTATGTATCAGGAAGTGTTTTGGGTGGCAGGTCTACGGTGTTGAGACAAATCAGGTGCCTTGCACAGTCTAGTCTATTGTGATCAATGTCCTTCCTTTTGTGTTTTACTCCCCAAGATCTCTTATTTACCTTCCCCTCCTTTTTACTTCCTCACATTTGTCTCAGAGAAAATGATGAACATTCTTTCCAAGACCAACTTGAATTCTCTTCTTAGCTCTCCTAGAATCTTGTTCTAACAACTCTCGATCTGTCTGTCTTGGTTTCTGTATACAGTGAAACATACTTCGGTTTGAACAAAATTTTCTTCCATTTTCAAAAAAGAGAAAAAGTAAGAGAGACACCAACACCTCATGCGTGCATACTTCTAGCTTGCTCACACTTTTCCTGTTTTATATTCACACCTACAAGTCTATTTAAACAGTTCTTTCTTAAATGTGGCTATGCACTTTTTAGATATTATTTTCCTTGAAATTTGAAGCATTAATGCGTAAACATGTTCTCTATGACACTGTTTTTATCGTTTTTCTTCAGCTTTTTGACACAGTATGCCATCCCCTTTTACTTTTAATTCATTTCTTCATTGATTTCCTTTACATATTTAAAGAATGCTTATCATTAGTGCTAGAGAGAAAGTCCATAGAAAGGGCCAAATATTCGGTTTTCTGTTTCTGTCATGGAAACCTCAGTGCTTTTCTCTGGCATTCTCACCCACTTCAGCCCCATTCATGCTTCCAGGTCTTCTCTCCTCTCCACTTCATGCCTCATGTTGCATTTCTTTCCGATTCTTCTGGTCTACACCTATTTCTAAAACCTGAAATTTTCCAAATGATTTTATTATCTTTAGCTAATTTATTCTAAATATATATACACATATATGCTAATTTCTACTTACTCAGAATAAAATTCAATTTTATCTCTGTTAACATATGTTAAAGTATTTTCTTTCTCTCAGTATTTTTATTTGTTTCTGGATATTTTCTTTCCTTCCTAGAGTATCAGTTCTTTTATTCTAACAACTTTTCCAAGTTCCAAGCTTTGATATTCAAGTTTTTTAAAACTCTCCTTAATCTTACTTCCTATTTAATCTCCTATTATGTGGTTTCCTGGCACTCCAGCTATGTGATCTCTTTTGGGTGAGTCTCTCTAGGTCGAGCACAAATGCTATTCTTTTCACACATGTTACCCTTCAGGCATAACCTTTCTTGCTTTTGGAACATAGCAAGATAAAATCTTGGATAAAATCTTTCTTTTTTCTCTTTTCTCATATTACCATGAATCGCTTCTTAACAGGTTTTGAGCCCTTGAGGACTGACTTATGCCAACCTTATTGGTATTCTGTAGGAAACTGAATGCACTCAATAAGCATATGTTAAAAACATAATTAAGTTGGGAAGATTACCCTCCCTTCAAAAGTGATCACCGATCATGTAAACATCCAGTGAAGTAATAAACTCTATATCCTGGATGGATAAAGCTAGTGCTTAAGAATACAAAGTAACTGCCACATGTGCAGACAATTTCTTTCTTTGTCAACCATTTATTGCATAAAGGAAACTCCTCCTCTGAGCCAAGAACAGGAAAATGACAGGACCAAATGTGAGGAAAGAGAACACTTTCTCTGGAGATGGTTTCTGTCTCTGAAATTATGTACTCTCAGATTGTTTCAAGGTAAACTAAAAATTGAAGGATAGAAAAGAAAAGTAATTATTAAATTATAATTATTTTTACGTTTGCTTTTGTAAAATATTATTTATGATATCCTAAACAAATGAGTTAATTATCCTTGTATTTCTCCTGGACACTCTGTGTTAAAATTATGATGGATTTTATTACACTAGTATTACTTGTTTAAAAAATTGCAGAAACACTTTAATTCATTTCTGTAAAGCTACTCATGGCTCCTAAATGTCCAGTTTTTTGCCTGTGGTTTGAATCACAAGTAAGTATTGGCTGCTGTATTATTAACAATGTGAGCTTAATGAACAAATCTCTTAAAGATACAGTGAAAGGGGAATTAGAGTTTTCTTTTTAAAAAAAGAATTTGTGATGGCTATACCTATGTTATAATGTATGTTTTTGTTATAGCTGTACATGGTAGGTATCTAATACACACTGGCTAAAGCACGAGCCCATCTGTCTATGAACTTTTCCAAACTAAGGATTTAAAAAATTAACATTGGGAGGAAGCATTTAGTTAAATAGAGAAAAGTGTATGCTGCTCCAGCATATATAGAAATATCCAAGCATCACATTTTCTAATATTGAACTGAGTTGTGCAGTGTAACAATAAGAGTTAACTGAGATATGACTTTTGAATATTGACTCTATGTCTAGATTTTATTTCTTATGAGAATTCTGCTCCAGCTTAACCAGACAGGAAAAACTGGTCCATTCTTTATGATTACAAAGGATTCTTTTGTCATTAGACTGTGCCAAATTGATAGTTTGTATAGTCCAACAAGAGACTAAATCATCATTACCTGGAGGGAAGCACTTAAATCATCTGAAGATGGCTATTCTCTTCTGATGGAAAGTTGGAGTTGACTGCCTGAGATTCTCTTACTGCCCAAGTAGCAAGGGTTAATTTTGTTGGAAAACACATGGGAGGAGAGCTTGTCAAGGAAATTCAAAGAGCAGAGCTGAAGTGTTCTAAAGGGAATTCTAACTTTGGTCTCTAGATTGAATTCTAAATCCTTATGTTTTATGGACGTCCAGAAGTGTGCAGAAGATAAAGATCAAGAAGCGAAAGGAGAAAAGAGTAGAGTGTGTGAGAGGTGGGATCTCTGGAAGGGGCCCAAAACTCTATTTTTTGCTAGCTCATTATTTGTTGCGATGACAGTCAAATACCCATTTGAGGGGCAAGTTTTTGGCAACTGAAAGTTATAGGGACATGATTAATGGAGTCAGAATACTGTATTGCATGAAAGTTTAAATACTACAGGAAACAATTTCATGGCGAACAGTGGGAATATCACTGTTGGGTTTCTGGACTGCTGCAGGACTTTACAGTCTGAATGAGAATTTTCAGATTTTCTCTGAGATCAGTCTACCCTGTGTGCAATGAGAGGTCACCTTGAGCCTCATTAATGTGAGCAATTAGTACACGTTAATCACAATTAAAGAGACACCTTGGAAAAAGGAGTTACTGCAGTGTGTGCATTTTCAATGAACACAAAGATTACATAGGCGTAAAGAAACTCCTCAAGAAAAAGAATGAGGCTACTGTTTATACATATTTTTTAATATTTAAATTATGGCCTTAAATACCCAAAAGGAAAGCTATTGTTTATATTTCAACATGTTAAACATTTACCACTTAGTGACCCCTGAGCAGCTTAGTGCAAACTGAAATTTGTGATCATCCTAGCTTAACCGTCATTATTTGGAAGGTTTCAAATTGATTACATATGTACATTGTCACTGGTTATACTCTATAATATTATAATGATGATCATCAACTCTTCTAAATTAGCATTTTCCTTATTGCTCCAGATCTTTATACTAATGACATGTGTTTACTTACATATAGGAATCTATGATTACATTGAGCTTGTAAGAGAAATAGATAAGAAACAAATTATTAACCATCATGAAATAATGCTGATGTCTCAAACTCATACAAGCTTTCGGACCCCATTTGAACTGTTGTATATTTTATATGACTCACACTTCAATAAGTAGGACTATTATTACCTGTATGTTGTAAGAGAAGAAAATGAGAACTGGAAGGTCTAAGATTTTCCAGAGTGAAAATGTCAAGAGAGTAGAAGAGACATAATTTGAGCCCAGAAAACTGACTGCTTCACACCCTGTTCTTCACTTCTCCCATAAATTGTTCCTGGTGAGTTAGCATTAGAAGAAGTGTTTGTGTTATTCCCAAACAATATCTTAATATGGATATTTCTTAGTATATCCTTCCCTTACCAGACTATAAACTTGTGAGTATGAGAACCGTGCCTTATTAACTTTGTCATGTATGATGTTCAGTGAGGCATTAATCACTCCTTAATTACAGATTGTTTCCTGAGAAACTCTGTCTGAGAGGTTTTCATCTTAAAGTAGTAGACTTTGATCTGCAAATCTGTTATATACACAAAATAAAACATGCGTTTTTTATTTTTGAGATACTGTGTTATGATTTTCTCCTTAAATATGTTCAAAATGAGTAGCATGAATGAAGTGAATTATTCTTGATTGATATGTGACCCTGTCAGCATCACAGTTAGCTGAAATTCTTCTCTTTTCAATACCTTTCCTACAGGGTGCTGCTTTAATTAGAATGCTGGCTAATTTTATGGGCCACTCAGTTTTTCAGAGAGGTTTGCAAGTAAGTAAAATGTTTTCTATTTTCTTTAACATCGTGCTTGTTTATTTTTTTAAAGGACAGTTCACAGCTCGAGAAATTACTAACATGAAATTGCTGCTTTGGTGGAAAACTTGTAGATAGGCTATGTCTTTCAGAATGACATGAAAATTTAAGATAGAATCCATAGTGTGTCAACTGGCAAAACACAAACTATCATAGAATTTAGAAGCCGTTCAATTGGTATTTACCAACAGAACTACTTTTTATATGTCAGATCCTGAACAATTTATATGAGTTGTATAAAACCTGTTATCATTTGCTTCCATTTAAATATTTATATAAAGTGAAAGTAAATTAAGTTGGCTTTAATTAATTACATATATGAGAAAATTTGGGGATTACATCCAGTTATGTACTATTAGTGTTTTTTTTTCAAAATAAAGATTTTTTTAAAGAAAGAAGAAAAAATTTCATATACTGCATTAGATTGATAAGTATGGAATCTAAGAATGTATTTATAAATATATTAAAATTTAAAGCAGATACAAATATAGAAAAACAGAATTTGGATTCCATTGAATCTGCTGGAGTAAATCATGTTTCTATGCCCTGTGATTGATGAATTATTTATGATGCATCCCGCTACTTAGAAGTGTCCTTAAAGTAAATTGATGTTCACCTGAAATACAATTATGCTAAGACAGAGAGAGCAATCAATCTTATCTGCTCTTAGTAAGTTTTCCATTTTGAAATTTAAATAAACTACATGTGGGTTCAGGTCATATTTTTATAGACTAAATTCTATCTTTACCTAAGATAAGTTTAAAGATAAAATACAAAGCAATAGTTAAATTTGTTATAACAAAGTATATATTTAATGCAACAAAGAAAG